TTCTTCTTCTTCTTGTTGAGAGGTGGTTCAGTCATGAACGCACACCTTTTGCAGGAGAAGGACCATCCATCACGCCAGTCGAACCTGCAGCTTCCCACACGGCTTCTTCAGGACTGTCGGGGACAGTCAGTGAGTATGGCACTTGGAGTGGTAGGCTTGGTCATTTTACAGAGGTGTTTCAGCGATGAGCACACACCATTTGCAGGAGAAGGATCATCCATCAAGCCAGTGGAACCTGTAGCTTCCCAGAAGGCTCCTTCAGGACTGTCAGGGGCCATCAGATATTATGCTACTTGATGTGGTAGGCTTGGTCATTTTACAGAGGTGGTTCAGTCATGAGCGCACACCTTTAGCAGGAGAAGGACCATCCATCACGAAAGTCGAACCTGCAGCTTCCCAGAAGGCTTCTTCAGGACATCCAGGGATAGCAAGAAATTGGTGAGTTTAGAGAGGTGCAGAGGTGGATTGTCTTGCCATGTCTTGCCAACAGAGTCATACTGTAAGACGTCTTGGAGTTTACAACAGCTTACAACAGCATTCATAAGTCAGATGACCAGGAGTGGTAGATTCTATGGCAGATGCCACGTCGACCAAGAGGGAGAAGGCTCCAGTGTCGTCAGGAGTGTCAGGGCCTTCAGCATAATTTGGTCATCGCAGGTCATTGTAGAAGCGTTATAAGTCTATATATATATATAATATAGCAAAAAATAATGTTACCATCTCTCTTTCTACTTGCCAATTTGTCACCAGGAGTCAAGTCAGCAGAGGTCTCAGCTCCATCAGGAGCAACACTTCTGTACAAACTGTGTTTGGCTTGTGGCTAGATTGACCTAAAGGTTTTGAGTTCATTGGTATTGTGACGAAAGCCAGCCTTCGTAGAAGGCGCTAGCGGAGTTGTGTCTGGCGAACGAAGTGAGTAGTTAGGGGGTTTGGGGGGGTGGCCCGGGAAAGGTACACGTAAACTCGGCACATCGAGGGAAGGTTTTTTGAGGTTGTGTTGGAGGTGATTTTTGAGGGGTGGTGATGCAAGAAATGCCAAATGCATCATTTGCATCATTTGCGGCATGGTGATCGCATGGCAAGGGGTTTGTGGGGCTCGAAACGCTACTGTTTCGAGCCCCACAAATCGGGGAACTTGATTCTGTTCTAAAACGCCGATCATTGGATAATCACTACTGGTTCTGTACCCGTCGGCCCTCCTTCTCCAGACTTGTAAAAATTCATAGCGCACGAAGTGTACTTGGGTGGACGCATGCGGCCTGGTGCTCGCATGGCAAGGGGTTTGTGGGGCTCGAAACGCAGGGGTTTCGAGCCCCACAAATTGAGGAACTTGGTTGTAGCGGTTTTTGTCCATGGCAATACTAGGCCTTGCAGCAATGCCTCTTCTCTGCTTGCTTCGACGCGCAGTTGTCGAAAAGGGGAAGCGCTGGCTTTCGTTTTGCAGCTTCTCAGGTTTGATTTCTCTGAAAAGTTTGTTTGGGGCACCCTGCCTTCAAGTGAACAGTGGCCAAGAAGAAAGCTTGCAGGAGCCAATAATGTGAGTGCTACGTCTGTGAAGGCTGAACGCTTGATGGCCACGCCTGTCAAGTCTGAACGCTTGATGGCTAAGCCTGTGAAGGCTGAGCGTACGGTTGCTACACCACCAAAACCTAAATCGAAGAAGGCTAAAGTGGATATCAAGATGGATGGCGACTCAAGCTCGTGTTCTTCCATCCAGAATTTGATGTCAAAGCACGCCGACAAGGTGTCTGAAATGGGGACCTATTTGGATGTGCTGGACCTCGGTGTGCTGTGCCTGGGTCTAAATGTGGCACCTCGTCATGACAATTCTATACAATTCTTATTTCAACTTCTTTCAGCATATGTTTAATCACAGTGTGTGTTGAATTTATATAGTTGGTTTCCCCAACCAGCTAGCAGCTAACAAACCCCGCTCCTAATCGCTTTCTGATGTTCTCTGCTTTCCTCACGTCCCCCAGGCTGCAGACATCGTGCTGGACGACTTGACAAAGCCGCTTTGTCCATCGCCGCTTGCAGATTACATCACAGGCTGTGTGCCCGACTGTAACTTTGAGCTGAATGGGGATCCAAACACGTCCAGGACAATGATTCTGACCAGTGCGGACTACAAGCCATCGAATGGGGTTGCACGGATCAATCATTGGGTTCCTGCAGTGTCACTATCCAACGTGGGGGAAACACGTCTCCAAGCCCTCATGGCTTTGGGCAAGTGCACATCGGATCTGAAGGTAGCCGGACTTGAAGCGGAGCGCACAAGTCTCCAGGACCAGCTGTCAAGTGCATTGCGGGGAGCATCAATGGATTCTGCCAAAGCTAAAGAAACGCTAGCTTTGCTGGTTTCCACTGACGAAGCTTTGGAGCAAGCCAAGGCCTGGGAAGATTTCAGACAGAGATGTGCAGCGGCTAATCTCCACCCAGTGGAAGTCCCAGGTGATGGCAATTGCTTACTATGGGCCTTGCATTGCATGTCTCAAGAAATCTACAATTGGGACCATGATGATGAACATGCAGGAATCAGCACAACTTGTGAATCCGATATCTTGGCTTTGAAGGTCATGAGGCAGGATTTGGCAGAAGCGTGGAGATTTCTTCGGGGCGTTGCAGTGTGGGAGAATCTCTTCAAGGTGATGATTGCAGATGGGTACGAAGAGCCAACCACTCCAAAGAGACCTGGAAAGTCAAAGCCTGAGACGTCGCCAGCGACACCCGCTGAGAAGGTAGCTTGGAAGAAGCAAAAGGCTGCGGTTCAGACGATCAAGAAACACAACAAGGCCCCTGCTTGGAAGTCCAGCGTGCCACCATTGCCTGACTTTGTTGGGAAAAGTGCCAAGACTGCCAAGAAGATGGAAGTCAAGGCTGAGGTGGATGAGGTGGAGTTGGAGGTGCCAGATGCAGAAGGAGAACATGGTGAAGATGTGGTTGTTCAGGTGAGCAGACGTGTGCGCACCTGCAAAAAGAAGAGAAAAACTACGAAAGAAAAGAGGCTCATGAACCTTCGCAACTACCTGGCTGAGATTGGGGCCACTTATGCCATTTGGCAGTCCAACCATTGGAAGCTGACAGGTTCCAAGAAGGCAGGGAGATGCAAACATGGTCTGTGGACTGATCTGCTCCAAGCCATTGAAGCCCACAAGATGCCGTCAGATCCGTGTCAGGCTTGCCAGAATGTCTTGGAGCTCTTTGACTTTTCCCACGATGTCGCTGAGAAATGGATGTCTGGAAGGGAAATCCTG